TGACGATGACGATGACGATGATGAGGAGGAGGAGGACGACGACGATGTCCATGAGGATAAGGATGATGACCATCATGACCATCTCGACGAGGAGGAGGGGGAGGACGACGATGATGTTGAAGATGACGACGATGACAATGATGACGACGATGACGATCGTCATCCAGTTTATCGGCGACAGCACTACCCCCATCGGCCGTTTCCATGTTCCTCATCATCATCAGCAGCAGCATCTGCTCCCTAACCATTATCAGCATCATCGTCATCATCATCATCACCGTCGTGCCGATCCTCCTGCCTCCTGATCGTGAATATCCCCACTTGATGCGATATGCCATGGCGAATGCAAGACCCCAGGAACTCCCTAACTCTATTCCCTTCACTTTGCACTCTCTGTGACGAGTGAGGCCTGGGCAGGAGCCGTGCCAATGACATCAAAAGCTGCGGGCCAAGCATCGGGTGCACTTTGGCTTCCTGGCGACAAGCCCAACAGCCGAATACAGTCTGCATGGCTACTTCGACATATCCCGAATAGCTCAAGCAGCGCCTGCAGAGCTTCGGAGGACTCGAGTTGGCTGCCCCCCTCCCCCTAATTTCCCCCGGCGCCAAGGGAGAGCCTTCCGAAAAGCTTTGGCATCGCAGCTGGGCTCTTTCGGATTGCTGAAGGTCCCGGACCTAAGACAGCAACCATGGATGATTTCAAGGAAGTGTTCTGTCACTAGCCCCATCACTGTCATAATTCATCATCACCACTGTCATCCATGTTCATGGCCACATTCTTCGTTCAAATGTCTTGTTCGTTAACATCAACCTCATCACCATCAACATCATCATCATTTGCATCCAACGACAACGACGATGACAACGACAACACTTCGGCACCGACCAACATCGTTAAACATTAGAGATCAAGCTCCATCACCGTTCGATGCATAGCCTTGTCCCTAGACAGTAAAAGGCAGGACGGCATGAGCACATCTACTTCATTGGCCAGGAAACAAGTTCTGCAACTGCCACAAAACCCAGGTACAGCTTAAGTTGAGCATGCAAAAAAGAAGACGACCAGTACATGCACTCGATCGAACAGCAGGAGATGGGCTAGGACGTCACTCGCGGCTCCAAGCATGCTCCGCGTAGCATGGCTTCCCCCGGCACATGGCGACAAAAGTAAGAGCTCCAGACCATGCCGACTTCGACGATGTGTCGGCAGCAGCGGCTTTTGTCCTCAGGATGGATTTCTCTATTTCTGCTCAGTCCGCTACATTCTGGCGAATGGCGAACCTCAGGCGCATCCTCCTCCCTCTCGCAGTCGTCATCCACAGCACCATTGGTATCATCAAGGTTGCCAAAGCGGGGAGAAACGGGGGAAGCGGGAGACGAAGGCAACAGGAAAGGGCCCAGTTTTAGGTTTCCCCCAGCAAGCTCAGGAACACCAAAGTCCAACTGCTGCACTCCTGCCCTTTCACGAACTTGGCGAGAAGAGAAACAACCGGCTGGTGCTCTCAATAAGTCATTCGTCCCAGGTGGGGTCGACACCGTAAACTACCGTAGCCCATAGCCCGTAATCCACCTGCGGCCCGCGGCTGGGAGCCAAATCGCAACGAACGATAACGAACGAACTGCATCGATGAATCAGGATGGTTGTGATTTCGTCGGCCTGCACATCGTTTCGGAACTCTTAGCACGTCCTGGCTAGAATACGACGAAACTTATCATCAACGATACTTGTATAAGTGCAATACAACTGGCACAAGGCATTTTATCTTCCCCATTCTGTTCATAAGTCTGATAGCGGACCAACACACAACCTTTACAGCTGCAAGTGGCGAAAGTCACGGTCCTTCATGCCCGCAGCATGGAAAGCGAAGCGGGCGTAGCGGGGATTGTTTGTCTGCGTGCCTCCCGCATCGAGCACCTGAGCACCGATAATCGTGAGGTGCTTGTATTCAATGCTTTGATACCAAGCCCCTGCAAATCTCCCTTTTCATCACAGGCTCATGCGTAGCCGACGACATTCTGTCAGACTTTCGCATCTTGGCTCCTCGCTCGCAAGTGCTCGGTCTCCCTCACCCGGGGCCCGCCCTGCCAACCTCAGCGCCAAAGAGGAAAGCACAATGCGACGAAACAGACGGGGTTTAGGGTTGAGGGTTTAGGGGCTTAGGGTTTAGGGCGGATGCCTTGTCTATTGGGTTGCCGGCTGAACCATGGCGTCTCCGCTGCAGTGGCCTCGAGCAGAGTCAAGCCGGCAGCGGAGACCGTGGGTTGTAGCATGATTGAGGGCAAGGGATCGTCGCAACTTCACAGAGAGCTCCATGCCGGCTGCAGTGGCCAGAGGCCCCTGCTACCCGCTTCCCGCCCAGAACGTCGGGACCTTCAGCTGGCGGGAGCGACAGGGTCTCAGTGGGTTCCTACGTACATGTACATGAATGTGTACGAGAGAATGAAACACTGCCTGTAAAGTATAAATAGATACGTGTGCAAAAAATGCACATGCGCACACAAGACAACACAACACAACACAACAAAAAAATTAAGGTGCCACTAAGTACCAATTAACAAGACATGACAGGACATCAAAATCGTCTGCTAAAACTCCCACACATGTCCAACCTAGAGCAACCTTCCCGAACCCCAGGACGACCACCCCAAAGACCAGGCCACGAAAGGAACTACGACGATTCTAAGTAGAGGTGCATGTCGCAGAGAAACAGAGAGGGGTCATTGCATGGCTGGCAGAAGGGGGACCTTTTGCGCGAGTCTAATCACGGGAGCGAAGGTCATCCAAAGCACTAGAAAAGTGCACCACCATAAACCCTAAGCCCTAAACCCTAAACCCTGCTATGTTGCGCTCTACGAGGTACAGAAGTTCCAGGGCCCCGGACGGAACTCGGCCCACTCGGCCAAACAGCCACAAAGGGCACTCCTAGCACGGGAAAGGGGGGGAGCTCTGGGAATCTATGGTTCAGGGCATATAGGGTTGAGTATTCTCGGTTTAGGGTTTAGGGTTTAGGTTCCTTCTAGACCGGTTCTTCTGGGGTTCTCGAAGAGTCCGTGAAGACCGTTGGCAGGATGTTCCAGGTTTCGCTCTTTCCCTTCAAAGTGCCCAGGAAAATCACGCGTCTCACTCATCAACATGCTGCGCACTGTTGGCAGAAAAGAAAGATGGGAACATGCACCCCCATATCCGAGAACCCCCGACCTCTGCCGGAACCCCGAAACCTAAACCCTCCTGTATCCTGAACCCTAAATGGCAGGCCTCGACCAGATACCAGAAATCCCAACCTTAAGACCAAAGAGAAGCGAAGTTCTGAGTCCCGGATAGTCCGTGAAGGACCGCTAAATGTAGGACGATGGCTGTGCCAATGAGGAAGACGAGGATGACGGGTTTGGGATGCAGGATTTGAAGGGTTCGCGAGAAGGGACAAGCACAACCCCTGGCTCGTCAACGTGCGATGGACAAGCAAAAACCGAAATACCCACAGCAAGAGATAAAAACTGTTTCAAAGCTCCAACAACAACGCACCGATCAGTAGCAATCCACATGCGAATCCTTCTACATGCGCTTGGAATATTGGATAGGTTTCCTCTTTAAGCAAATAAAGCGGTCTTTCGTTGCCTTCCCTCCCCCGGGGAGCGTGCTGGTCCCAGAATTCTCCGAGGTGAAACTTGGCATCTCCTTCGTGCCAAACCTGTCCAACTCTAAGGATTCTGCAACTCATGACTTCACTCCTCTCCCCTCATCGCTTCCAAGCTCGTCCAACCAGGCATCCCTGTACCCAGGCTCCCGCTGCCTCCGAGTCTTCCCAAGCCCTGGCTGCAAAACTTCCCAGATTACCTTCCAACGTGCCTTCTCCCACAAACTCTTCATCCTCGGCGTGCATCATACTTACGGGTTCTCCGCTGCAGGTACCACGCATGCGTGCCAGTAGCCCATGAGCAGCAATCGATCCATGCAACCGTCGACCCCGACGCTTTGAGCAGAAGCTGTAAGACTTCTCTTTCGACCAGACTTCGCTTTCGTGTCACCTAAGGTGCTGAGGATCCAACCATGCGGAGCGGACCTTGCAGAACATGAGGCCCGTGTTGAGCCAGTCCTCCGGAGTTGCTGAGACGTGACCCACAAACTTCACCCTACACAAGGGAGCGAGGGAGGGAGGGAGGGAAGGAGGGAAGGAGCTGAGGGAGGGAGACGAAGGACAAGGGCTCCGACATCATCCGGTTCAGCGAAGAATCCAGTTCGCCCTGCGAACTCGGCCCGGCACCAGGTCCGCCATGTCTTCCCCCAAGATCAGGTCCTCAGCGCCGCCAAAGCTTCCAGACGGTGGCCGTTGGTCATAAAAAAAAGGGCTTAGGGCTCCAAGGTGCCGGACCCGGGTTTCTCAGCTAGAGGCCGGGGACACCTAGCAGAGCACGAAAGTTGTCGAACCCTGCATTCGATACCTTTATGTAAAGTTGATCGCTTCTTGGAGAGCACAAACCGGCGGTAGTTACTCAAACTCACCAAAGCCAGAAAGCTGAAGAGTCAAGGCGACCTGCACGGAGAACGATTCTACCTTAGGCAAAAGCCTCGAGTGTGGAAAGCGACGTGTGCTACCCGCAGGCGCTTGTGCGAAAACGACATTGGGTGGATGCGGCCACTGCGCACCCGGACTCTATCAAGCGGACTCTCGGCTAGGTCCCGACTGGGAGCCTCTTACCTTCCGGCACAGTAGAGCTAAATTGCGAGCGACTGAGTGCCCTGGATCCTGAATGAAACGGCCGAGAACCAGTCCTTCTGGTCGTAGAGGAAGGAATCTAAAGGCCGGCTGTGGTTGACGACCTGACGACGCACACGTTCGGTTACAGCGAGAAAGTTTGAACGAACGCGGATGCCAGTTGGCTCCCAAAGCCTTGCCTAGTAGTGTCTTTTATGTTCGCCAACTGCTGCCGTGAATTGCTGCCGAAACTCGTCACGCATAAGATGCCGCGCCCCGCCACAAATGAGGCGTTGTCCGTCAATTCTGAGAGTCCGAGGTGCCATTAAATCGGCGTCGAACCACACCAGCCAGTCTGCCTCGGAGCCGCGCATTATCAAAGGGTCATCTTGCACAGGCAACAACTCAGAATCATCACCTGGACTACCATGCTTAAGCTTGCTGTCAGCATCGGCCGGCAGGCGTCGCATCAGAAACTGCTGGCCAGTCTTTGCGGGAATGCGAGAGATGGACGGCAATACATTCACCGCCCCAGGTGCTAAAACACTCCTACAGCCACAGGATCCGAGGCTTCGCAGAGGCTGGAGTTCAGACGAGCTCGGCAAAGTAGATTGAAAGATGTACACCGGAGAGAAGCCCTGTGGACAAATGGACGAAAACAGACTAGCAACTTTGTGGGTGTGTTTCAGAGTTGGGACCTTTAGATGCTTTGTCGCACAATGGTCACAGATGAAAAGAGCCCAATGCACGGTGGTGAGCCGCAAGGAGCTGCATCGTGAGCAGATGAAGCACTGGGCGCCCCAAACTGCCAGGAGAGCATCGCGCTCTTCGGAGCCTCATGGCTGGCTCGCAATTAACGGTTGCACCCAACGGAATGTTAGAAGGCGGTCAAGACTCATGCCACAATGCACGACTCCATGTGCGACTCCTCCATCCCCTCAGATTCGTTGCCAAGCCACCAATCTTGGCCTCCAGTATTGAATTCCTCAAGTTCGCGCAGTCAGCTAGCTGAGGGACTTATGTATCCCAAGGTCATGTCCGGTAAGGGGCACCCCGGTCTGGTGCGACAGGCTGTGCTTCAGGGCGCGGCTGCATGCCCCTCGCGCCGACGTGGCTGTAGAGCCAGCGAAGCAAAGCTACCTCGCAGCCGTGGGACGACAGGAGGCAAAGCCACTTTTAATTTTGAGGAATCGACTGGAATCATGGTCTTCATGCAGGTCTCCATGGTCTCCATCCTTTGACCCCTACGGTGCGAACGACCTGTACCGCCTTACCACCGCGTGAAGTTCCCACCAGGAGACTTGAAACGATCGCTACCAATCTTTGCATGTGTACGTCTGAGCATGCAGATCTCGAAGCGTGTGTGTACAACCAACGGTACCCTTTACTGCTGTACTGCAGTACCCTTTTGTTGTGACCAGCTGCTACTAGTAGTTAGAATCGGCAACCACGGAAGTGCCTTGGCCCACGCGAAATGCCGCCCCTCACAAATGGCCTGCACAAGATGGGCCATGACAGAGGAAAAAAATGCCACTGAGGCCGGAACCTCCATAAAAAAGTGTAGGGCTTACAAACCTAAGGGTTAATTCTCAGACCTGGTAAGGGCAGTCAGGGTGTGGCTTTGAGAATCACACAGGACACAGGGTTCCATTAAGTCAGAGAAACCTTGCCACTCCAAAAAGGACACGGAAGTGCAGGGGGCAACATCTGCCACGCCTCCATCTCTGATTCTGAGAGGACCATGGGGGCAAACCTCACAGGGCAAGCTCTCCCTGCCTCTTTTTTCGTGAGGGTTAGGGTGCAGGGGGTTGCCCCCCTACACCGTGCGCTGCCTCTCTTTTTATCTCTCTGTCTTGTCCCAGGCTTCAGGAGCGAGTTGCGGCCCCCAAGCATCAAACCCGCCCGCATCCTCGGGCTGTTTGGAGTTGGGAGGGGCTCTCTCTCATTCTCTCTCTCCTTTCCTTTCCTTTCTGCCGGGCTGGGGTCGTCTAGCGACCCTCGAGAAGCTCTCTCTCTCTCTCTCTCTCTCTGTCTCTCTGTTTGCCTCACGGATCACATACATGTATGTCCCAGGTCTACTCTTGATGGGTGTTCATTGGAATGCAGCACCTGTAGTTGTGCTGTTCGCAATAGGCGGCATTGATCGCGGCGCAAAGGTAGCCCACCTCAACACCAAGTCAAGACGCGGCATATTGGGATTCAAGGCAATGTGCGATGACGTAAGCTGTTGAACACTCAAGGTATTATGCGCAACTGGACTCGCGTCGTTCTCTACCTGCAAGCAAAGCTTTCGGAGGATCCAAGCTCTTGTTGAGACGCTACCTGCAAACATCCCTGTTCATCTTGATCTGTGAGCGGCTCTGAATGTCTCAGCATCTCCACTTCACAGAGCCCGGCTCTGCTCCTATATGTTTCCGCCTGCAACAGTGCCTCTCTAAGCGAAGACAACTCGGAACAAAATTGTAAGCTTCTGACCTCGTAGCGGTCGTTGAAGATCGCCACGGCTGCCACCGACGCATCGGAAGGCATCTTAAAAATACCTCGACGAGGCTGCATACGGATACTACCACGGGAACTGGCATCTAACGAGCGGAGAAAAACTCCCTCACACTTCTCGTCCTGCTTCAACACAAGCCAGGCTCATTGACGTAACTGTTCATGTGAAAGTATCGAGAGAATGAAATTTGACAAGCCGTGGCATGGTGTGGTAATTTGTGCTTGGGCTTGGTCATTCAATCGCCTTATGTGTCGTAGGGTAGGAACTGCAATCTACAAGACAGGACAAACGGTGAAGAATAGCTTCGGTACTGCACTACCCTTCGAGACTGTTGCAGTTGTGCTTGATAAAGCGTCGCAGTAGAGCGACAGGTGGAGACCCTCGGCACATAGAATCCATGTTCGTCGTCGTCTCCGTCGTGGCGTCACGCTCTCAATACTTCTCCTCATGCTTAGCCTCCTGCTCTCGGCATCAAGAACATGCCCAGCAAAAGCGGCAACAGCGGTAGCAGGGACATTAGCAACATTGAACTTGACCTGGCTTTGACCTGTTCCCCAGCAACTTCACATACCTCACACCCAAAAGCTACTGAGCTCCAGGCCTTTCCTCTCGAAACCAGCCTGGAAGGAGATGCCCCGCCGATGGGCAAGCAACCAGGGATGCAAAGCTGAGGCTCCAGTTCACGAGTCGAAGCCTCGGTCCAGTCGTGGAACGCTTTGAACGCTTAAGGCGCTTCAGCGGGTGAGACGTTTTGAAAGACTTCAACATCGCCAGGGAGGGAGCCCCAGATGGAGCTCGATATCGGTGGTCTGCGCGACCACCACGCGATGGTACGGTCGCACCATGGCGCTATGAGGGCTCAAAACGACAAAGGCCTCTTGTCGAGCTGTTGTCCTTTCGGTGTCACATGTTGATATTGCAGCCAATGCCATTCGCAACCGCATGCCATCAAATGAACACGGCAGGTTGCCATCAAATGAACACGGCAGGTTCGACGTGAATGTTGCTCTCTGCTTTGAGATGCGGAACATGTACTCACACGGGCGATATGCAATGCTGACCGACGAGGACGCGAAGTGCCTTTTCAATCTCCGACTTCTAGACGCCATGATGCAACCTTGCGTTGGGTTGCCATGGCTCCCAGGAGATGATGAACTCCTTGAATGGTTCGTACCGTGAACTTTGAGCTTGCAAGTTTTGTCTGAGACAGCCGATGCCCTGTTGGCAGCTAGGTGCATATGCTAGTGCTTCGCACCAACACCCCACATCCGCTTCAGAGACATGCAGCATGAAGGTCTTTGTAAGGTGCTGCAATATCAACAGCTGTGCCTGCCAAAATGGTTGCTGGTGATATCCAAATAGGTTGGGACTGACAGCAAACCTATTTCACGGAGCTGCATGACACGGTACGCACGTCTGGCTGCAGTTGGCATCTTCGGGTCTGGGATGGAGGTCTCGCGGTCATTTGTGCTCCGTGTATGCATTACCGATTCTATCGTGCGCACGCCGGGAACCCTGGGATTTGCCTTTGCAGAATGAACCATTCCAGCAATTATCAAGCAGCTCCAAATTCGGCAGCCTGCTGGCGACCGGCTCCCGCAGCCATAGCTCGGCAAGGAATGGCAAAACAGCTAAATCACCCGGCTCGATTTACCGCAAAGAAGCGGAAACAGAAGCCCATCGGATGTGCAACTGGTCCGAAACATGCCCCTTGCGAAGTTGTCAAGAGCATGTCTGGTTTTCATTTGTCTTCATGAGTTTGCTCAAATGTGCGCTGCGAAACATGAATGGAAACAGCACACACAAGCAAATTCACATTGCATGTTGGCTGAACCCTGTTGTTACATCTTCACATAACACGTCGGGAATCAGCCACGGTGTGCTACTGGTGTGCGCGGCATTCGCTGTGGGATTCGACAGGGACCCACTGGTCACCAGAAGATCAGTAGGTCCCTTTCGAATCCCGCCAATGCAGTACGTTGCCCAAAACCGCTAATTGGTGGATTGGAAAGCGAGCGACGGGAAAGTGGGCGGATTCGCAATCCCGACAATGGGTTCGGATTTAACACGACAGACTAAACTTTATGCTGTGATAAGAAAACGAAACCATCCGAAGCCAGTGGTGGTTGAAGGTTAGGGACTTGAACGGATGGGAATGCCATCCACCAAATCAGACCAACGAATCTATTGAATTACTGTTGGCAATAAGCTAGGCTTTACCATTGCCATTCAGAATGGCAATGGTGGGATTCACCATTCGCACACTGCGCCAACTACTCACGAGCTCAAGCTGCCCTGGATTGGCCGACTTTTCCCCATCATTTCGCACTGGCATGTCCGGGGCCGAGTCGACGCGAAAGCACGACCTGCGTCAAGGCAATGTAGACTGGCCCTCGGGGGCAATACCGTTTTTGCTTCAACACTGAGATGTGACAGCATGTGTTTCGGGGTTCTTGTGCTGCAGTGCTTCCGCAACAACCACATTCAGGCCAAAACCAATCAAATCTCAATTGTGTGCGGCAAGGAATGAACGACATGAAAGCATGTTTCAGCTGAAACCTGTTTGGGCAATCACAAGAAACTGGGCAAATGCTTGCTTCGTAAATTGGCAAGGGCTGCAACATAATTGTCAGAGTGGTGCGAACCAAACTCACCAAGAGATCAACTCCCTTCGACGAAACACTCTCATTGCGAGGCAGAAAATGAAAGCGTTAGTCGAGCATCCCGGGGCAGCACCACGACTATGGAATATGACAACCTGGCGTGATCACCCAGGAATGCCTAACATTGCCTAACGAATCTAGGGCCGGGATTTGTACTAAGGAATCGGAGATGCACGAGGCAATGCTGACCAAAATGTAGGGCAGCAGAAGTAAACACCCGGAAAAATGACAGAATTTCACCGAGGAGCAGAAACAGCAGCTAGAAAAAGATGCAACGGAGTTCGTGAAGGTCGAGATCCGACATGGGCCCGGACAACAAACATGCAGCAACAGACTCAACTGCCTGCTGCCAGCGCGTTACCACCCGCAGGAGCGCGGCAGCAGAGCAGTTTCGGCCGGTGTTGTTGCGGATCCTTAGCTAGATCGTGGGGTCGTGGGATAACCGCTTCGCGCTTAACTAAACACCCCGGAAATAAAAACCAAAAAAACACATCGGGGCGAATCCTCCCGAAATCATCCCTGCCCTTTTCAACCTATTCTGAATTAAGGGGGAGGGTTTCGAGGCTCTTTGCAATTACCCTTAGAGCACAGTGAGAGCAACAGCAAGAGCACAAGCAAGAGCAGGAGTTAGGGCAAGAGCAAAAGCAAAAGCGGGAGCATCAGCAATAAGAACAAAGCAAAAGCAACAGCGGAAGTAAGAGCAAGAGCAGGAGCAAAAGCGGGAGCAACAGCAAAAGCAGCAGGAGCAGGTGCAAGAGACACAGCAGAAGCAGGAGAAAAAGCTAGCGCGGGAGCAAGAGCCAGAGTCAGAGCAGGAGAAAGAGCGTGACCCCTCAAGTGGCAGAAGAGATGAACAAAATACCCCCAATCAGAAAAACGCGCTCCGAGTTTTTATTGGGGGGGTTGGGTTTAATATTAGGAGGAAGGGATTACGCTTCTATCACTTCAGGCAGGGCTCCATTTGGCGAAGTCCTGACATCCAAGGCACAACACCAACTTCCAGCAGGATCACAACATGAGTGGCCTCGTCCGATCGGCAAGGAACCCGCAGCAGTTGGAGCCGCACGCTCCGCTGCGACGAGCTTCTGCCATGCGACGAGGGAGCGGACAGGTTCTTGACTCGTTTTAGCTTGCATTGCAGATTTTGCATGCGATTCGATGCATCTGCATCTGCGAGAACTAGCAACCAAGGCCCGCCTCCAGCTCGACGAAATCCCACTCCTCCTCGCTCTCTTCGTCGTGGGTACCACTGCCGCCACTGTCGATGCTTTGTGCATCCGAAAGATCTTCCTGGCTCCTCGGCAGCCGAGTGCGATGAGCGAATCGCCTGCGAGCACCCATAGACGAGAAGAACAACAATCTTGCTGCCAGAGGCACTGTTCAGCACTAGCATCCACGGGCTCCTGCGATCATGCAAGCTCATCCTCACATACTGCAAGTCATCTGCGGGCCCAAAAGTCTCCAGAATAAATCCGAACGAATTCTGAGGAGAAGGCGCATGAACCGGCTCTGTCCTCGCATGGACATGGCACTGCAAGCGGAGCCGAGATCAGGTTCTGGTCGGCATCCCGCTGCATGCAGCAATGCGACAGCCTGCGTAATGCGACAAACAACGATCGCGGAGCCCTCCACACTTGCTTGCTCTCTCGCTTGCTTGCTCCGTGGGAGCATGGGGACAGAGCGGCGCGAGAGCGTACCTCTTGGAGTAAGTATTGCGTAAATAAGGAGAGAACTAGCGCTAAACTCCTGAAAGAATGTACTCCCAGGGTCCACCGTTATGTGTGTATGTATGCCTGTGTGCGCGTGCGCGTGCGCGTGCACGTGCGCGTGCGCGTGCGCGTGCGCGTGCGCGTGCATGTCCGTGTGGGTGTCTGTGTGGGTGTCCGTGTGGGTGTCCGTGTCCGTGTCCGTGTCCGTGACCGTGTCCGTGTCCGTGTCTGTGTCTGTGTCTGTGTCTGTGTCTGTCTGCGTCTGTGTATGTGCGTGCACGTGTGCGTGTGTGTCTGGGGTGTGCGTGTGGCTGCGCGGGTGCGTGTGCTCGTACATATTATTGTGTACGTATACGCATAAGTGTATGTCTCTATAGTGATCTGCAACTGCATACAGTATACACATTCCTATCTGTACCTACATTGCGGTGTGCATGTTCTAGAAACCATCATAAACACACATCGACATCAGGTCACATTCAAAAACAAAATCATATTCAAAATCACATGTATCCTCCTAGCGAATACACAAACAACTACTGTACTAGGGGAAACGAGACGTAGTCTCAGCATTTGATGCCGGCACACGCGGATGTGTGCAAGCTGACACCCGCGAACCCTTCATCCTTTGGGTCCGGGATTCAGGGTGTAGGGTCACCTTATGCCCTCTACGAAGCGAGCCTGGGCCGGCCAAGCTACAGATTATGGTGCAGCCCGTTTTCGCCAGATCCTTGAGAACGGTCATGACCTCAAGGGCTGTGACGCAAGGTCTTTGGTGCCTTTAGGGTGTCCCTTAGAATTCTGGATTTAAGGCAAATTGAACGTGCAATGCGAACTTTAATGTTTATGGGGTGCAAATTGGCGTCTGGTGACTTAGGCTTAGGATGGCAAGTTATGAGGTTTGGCCTCTTGCGAAGTTTCACTGACCATCAAAACGACACAAGCCTGAACCCCTAAAGCTTCGTCTACAAACCTTGAAAGCCTCAAGTCCCAAGACCCTTGAACTTAAGCTCTTCGGGTGAAAACTGTCATATAAATCATTGTGTTGAGTACATAAGGCCTGCAAACATCAGGACCGCCAGCTTTAATGACTTGAGTTTTTGTGTCAATTACCTAGCTTCTTGTTGTTGTTTACAAGGAATCAGGTGGTAGAAGGCCTTTCAGAAGCCAAATCACTGAGACACTTCCCTCACACCACTACCGCCGTCCGTCTCCTTCGAAAAGACCGTGTCTGTGGCTTCCATGTCAGTGTCGGCTAGACTATAACTTCCTGTTCACCCTGCACCTCGTTCCCAAATCTGTATAGACCCTAAATCCTTACACACCAAAAAACTCTGAACCCTAAACCGTAAACCCTAATTTCCGCAAACACTACAAAGCTCCAAATCCAGCGCAGAGCCACCTGATAGGCTGCATAGGAGTCCAATCCACTAGTCCTCAAAGTCAGCACTGAGATTGGTGAGCTCTGATCGGATTTAGGGGGCAGCACTGAGATTTGTGACCGCTAATCGGATTTAGGGCGTTTAGGGTGTTAGGCTTGAGGGCTTTTAGGGGTTCAGGATTTAAGAATTTAGAGCTGCAAGTGCATATTACACTTAATCTCCAGCTGCCTGCATGGTGGGTCAAAAACCCCAGAGTCAGGCGTTCTTCCAAAACTTTTGTTTGAGAGTCGGAGGTGAAAGGACTGAAGCCGGCTGCTTAAGGTCTTTGCATAGCATACAGGTCTGCGTCACTCTGGCTCTCCCGCGTTAACTCTGCTATGGTAAGGATCACTTTATGAAGTTTTAGTCTGTATTCAGGTTCCGTCGTTCTGAGAAACCAAACCCAACATCCTTCATCCTACATGCCAAGATGCCACACCCTGACTTCCTAAAACAGATACTATTGAACCCTACACTTTAAGCTCAAGAGGAACATTGGGTCCCCGAACGGCTCATCGAGGCAGACAATGTCCGGACGAGTTATAAGTTCCACCTCACCAAGGTGCAGGATTGGAGGTGAATGAGAAATAAGGCCTTGGATTTCAGGGTGGAGTCTTTGGGGTTTACGGTACTTTTGGTAAACGGCCTGTTGCATCCTCTGCGTCAGAGGCTTGGGGTTTGGGTTGGGGAATGCGGAGATTCAATGCGGAACGTAGTGTTGATCCGGCTTTTGCAAAACCTCAGACATAAATAACTGGAGGGTGTTGGGGGGCAGAACCTGACACGAAGCGAGGTCTGTTCAACCTACACCTCATGTAGGCTCATCAGCCATGTAAACAGACTACTTCGATGAGAAAGCTGCGAGTTCATATGGTACGGTATGTTCCTACCGGTATCTCTGCGACCAGACCACCACTACGATGTTATGAAGCACTGTAGCAAGCTCACGGTGCATAACAACCTTCACCGAACCTTCAGGGGCATGTAGTAAACGCCAAAGTATCCTTCTGTTGGGTTTTATGTTCTCAGCATGAACTCAAGTTACTTTGGTGTTGGGCTTTGTTGGTACGCTCTATTCATCTGATGGCGACGATTCATCAGATGCCGATTCTGCGAAGTAGGGTGAAATGACTGCTCCCCGTTCCCCCGAGCGGTCGACAACCAGAAAAAGAAGATACTGCCCGATGGAACGATGACCATGATGATGATGATGATGGTGATGGTGATGGTGATGGTGATGGTGATGGTGATGGTGATGGTGATGGTGATGGTGACAGTGATGATGATGATGATGATGGTGATGATGACGGTGATGATGATGGTGATGGTGATGGTGATGGTGATGGTGATGGTGATGATGATGATGATGATGATGATGATGACGATGGTGGTGGTGGTGTGGTTAGGATGGTGATGCAGATGGTGATGAGGATGCAGTGATGGTGACGGTGACGATGATGAGGGTGAAGATGAGGAAGAAGAGGAGGAAGAAAAGGAGGAGGAGGAAAAGGAGGAGGAGGAGGACAGGGTGGGGGGTGAAACACTGCAGGTCACACATGCCTGTCTGTTTCACGTATCACATGTATGTATCCATGCTTGCCGCTCAATGGTCTAGCCGAGTATCGACTACAACTGTGAGCCTGTAGAAAATAAACTGCTGCGTTGCCTGTAGGCCTGGACCTGTGCGAGGGTCTACACGCCCAGGTTACATCTCGGAAGACGGGAAAGGTCGCTTTGTTGGAGGTACCCGTTGGTACGCCCCCCATGGGTGGAGGCAACCGTTTTCCCGCTTCACTTTTGTGAAAGTTTCTCCGGCACACTCTACATTGGTGGAGATAGCCGGAGGAACTTATTTCCGGGGATCGATCCTAGGTCAGAGCCATGGCCAGCCACTTTGCTGCGCCGTATGAGTATGGCGAAGGAGATGATGAATACCGCTTTCAGAACCATGAGTCTTATGCGACAAATCAGAGATATCTTCAAGAGTTGCACCGCCTATCTGCATTTCAACCGGGATCCTACAGCGCCGTCAGGAAANNACCCGCAAGAACCGACCAAGCCACCCCAAAACAAGACCCGGCAAACCCAACCACAACCGAACAAAGGAAGAACCGAGGCACCCTTGCAGAGGACTCCCACTCTTTTTCACTCGGTGGATCGCAAGAATGCAGTCCGAAAGCACTGCCGGCACTCGAGCAAGACACTCGACCCTACACAGTGACGCACGGACAACTAGTGCAATCACACAAGTCATGCCACATGCAGTTGCACTCACGCCTTGCCTACCGGCATACAAGGCACTTCCGGATCCCACTTCGTGCCCAGCAAGTGTTCACCCTGCGGTGACCACAAAGGTACCGCGGTCATATGGTGGTCGAAGTAGTTGGTTTGCCTATTCCGGTGCGATCGATGACTGGTGTGACATCACTGAGTTAGATGCCGACAAGCGTGGACCAGCAGACGCAGCAGTTCACAAAAGGCTTCTTGACAGAGATCGCCTGAAGGACCCCAACAACGGAGTCAAGTACTTCCAGAGTTTCCTGAGGCCGCTGTTCGTGAAGGCGCGGCCACTGAACGACACCTGTATCCCCAGCTTGGATCAAGGCAAACGCTGAAGTCAGAGCTTTCATCACGGGCCTTCCTGTGGAAGAGCAGGCGACCATCACGCCAGAAGAGGCGATGGAGAGAGCCAATGAGAGGCTCAGGGACCAGCAATCCAGGACGATTCCAATCACCGCCAACTTGACGGCACTCATCTTTGTGTCTCTGTCCGACCTTACCCAGGATCCATAGGAATTGGGCGCTGGAGGATTAACGAGCTGCGTGAAGTCTACCTCGAGATCTTCTGCACCACAAAGACTACCGTCGACAATCCTCTCCTCGCTCCCTCGGGTCACGGTGGTCGCAAAACCTTCTTGGTGATCGCGGAGGGCTACCTTGGCAACAGTGACGGTCACGGGAGAACTATTCTTGGCTCCAACGACGTTTCCAAGGTCGAAAGATGGAGCATGGGTTCAAAGGCCGCCGAAAAGGGAAGGGTAAAGGCGGCAAAGGATCAGGAGGAATACGCTTCTTCAAGAAGAAGAAAGGCAAGGCCCATCTAGGCGATGATCAGTCCGAAGCCTGGCAGAGCGCACGGCAATGGCAAGATGCTTCCTGGGATGAGTGGTCCTGGGACAATGCCGAAGAGTCCTACGCAGCCAAGGGCAAAGGAAAGAAGGGAAAGAAAGGAGGCAAAGGAAAAGGCAAATGGAGCAAGGATGAAGGAAAGGCAGACTCCAAGGATGGATCAGCTCAGCTTGCCGACACTGCCTCAGTAGCACCACAGCTGGTACACCTTCTACGTGAACCACGCTCCTTGTTTGAACTTCTCGCTCATCGCTCATGGCCACGGAGACGAACGAAGCCTTCATCGCTCAGGTCTTGACGCCTAGCTTCTACCGGGATGACCGCTGACCAATGGCCAAGCAACACATCGACTGGGCCAGGGTTCAAGCTTAACGTGTCCGGGTGGGTTCTCAACTCCACGAGCGACAGCTACCTTTTGAACGAATGTGACTACGACAGCCACATGCCGCTGTTGGTGGACATCCGAGCAACCGTCTTCACCAACCAGCAAGCAAGGGCAATGAATCGTAATCCGGACGCGGTTTACGAGAAGGCTCGAGAAACAAAACGCCCAAAAACGTCTTAGTCGTCCTGATCGTCAGATCCAGCGGACACACCTCAGGCGCCAGACGGCACAACGTCCTCCTGAACCTGCACAACCTCCAGACAAGTTCTGTTGGATTCAATGAGTGCCTTGTAAAGCGACATGCTCACATGCCTTTCGACACGATCTACCGTCGCGCCTAAGCGGTACACAGTCGTAAACATACGCGGTTTACAACTTCCATCATAATGCCAGTTCAACTTCAATGCGCACCAGACACCGGAGCTCGTCGTGCAGCACCCAGACCGCGTCACGGACGTTTTCTGGCCTTCACCGAGCCTCGTCCCTTGCTGGCTGCTGGTCAGTCAACGGCCGCGGCACTTCCAACGCCTCACTGACTTCCTTCAACCACGCCTCACCCACCCCTGTCTCCACCATCTTCAACCCATCCGCCTCTTGTCCCGACGCGTTCCAGGCCTCCTCCGGTGCTGTGCTGTTCATACTGAATATGCAGCATTGGACATACAAACAACCTGTCCACCCTGTCCTCGTACCATGTCTTTCAATCCCTCCGCTTCTATCCAGGGCCGTTACGCGTGCCTCCATACTCCGCGAGTGCCGCAACTTCCCGCGGGGTCCCTCGCTACGGGCTCGGGGCTGCGACCGAAAAGCCTACGTGATGCAGAATTGTGACTGTATCCGAAACAAGTTTGATCCAACACCAAGCACTGCATGACTGCAGAACTGGCCGTCTGATACACGCGTGTGCATGCATCAGCGAACATCAGTGAGCATACGAACGACGATTGTCCCTAATTCGAGACGGCCTCCACCCACGATGCCAGTAAATTTTAAACGCGACAGCCCTTTTTTCATTCATGAAATCTACAGCTAGCAGCTATCCCAACTCGCGTACACCGGCCACACTTGACGCACGTGCGATTGGCGATCTCCGATCTGCGGCATCTCCTACTATGTATGGCGCGATTCCTACCACAGTGTAGGCCTAACCTGAGCCGCTCGACGCTCCACCAGTCTGGCACAGTCAAATTCGTGAATTCGCAGCAAGCGAAAGTCCCGAAACTTGTCCCCACAGAACGCGCACATCAGATTGGCTTCCTGCGGACCCCTACATGTAGGCTCATGTGTTTTCAACGTTTTCTGTTTAAACATTATTCCGCATTTAGGACACCCCCCCATACCCGGCCTTGGGGCGACTCTTGCAACTGCGTAGCGGATTTTGTGTGATGTCCGCTGGTGCGCAGTATCACACTGGCGGCCACAGCGAATGCAAGTTTCAATCATAACCGGGTTGTCAATCAGAGCAAGCTATGTTGAATGCCGACACGGCCTGCCTGGTTGAAACATTGAATGTTACACTTCCAGGTACCTGTGTTTCACGTATCACATGTCCATGGTTGCTGCTCAAGGTTCTAGCAGAGTATCGTCTACAGCTGCGAGCCTGTAGAAGAGAGACTCCTGCGTTGCCTGCAGGCGTGTACCTCTGCGACGGTCTACACACCCAGGTTACATTTCTGGCGGTGGTGGTGGTGGTGGTGGTGGTGGTGCGTAAGTCATTGAGGTTTCACCCGGCGCTGAGTGAGCCGCGCCAATGGCCGTCCGCTTGCGCTGGCCACCGGAGAGGCCGTTGATGACGGCATTGCCGATGTACCTCAAAACGGTTGAGAGTCTAGGGCTTGGGGTGGTCTATCCAAAGCAGGGCAAATGCTCCCACACGAGTCGACTAAAAAAGTCCATGTGGTTCCCAAAAATTGATGAAAACACTCCCGGACGAGAATGTGTTTTCTTGTGGCTTGTCATCGCCACCTAGGGGCTTGTACACCCTCCACAAATGCTAAAACCCTATAAGCAAAACTCCAAAGCTCCTAAGCCCAAAAATCCCTAAACCCCTCTAAACCGCTGATCCACCTAAACCCTTGTGGTTCGCTCAAAGCCGTAAGCGTCCTTCGTGGCTTCGGGCTTCTTCGGGCTCGCTCAGTCAAAGAGCATTTGCCACACTGAATAGTTTGAGAAATTTCGGGGTCAAGACACATGCGCCCTTGATTCCTTGAAGTTTATCGGCGACGAGGACTTTTCAAATCCATAATTCCTATGAGTTTTCTGCAGGGCATACTTGAGCTCGGAATTGTCGCATTAGGGTTTCAAGATATACGGCTTCAGGTTTATGGGCTTTCTGTTCAAGCAATATGGCCCGATATTAAGCAGTCATGAAAGGCCACCCAGCACAGGACATTCTCTCAGGTCTGGTGCAAAGAAGACGCTACCAAATTTCCGAGGGACCCTAAACCCTAACAATGTGGGGCTTTTAGGGCTTAGGGTTCAGGGGTGTGAGGTTTAAGGAAATGCAGGTTTAGGGTTTACGTACAGGTCTAAGGCCTTGGGGGTTGAGGGAGTTTAGGGGTGTAGGGTAGAAGGTTTAGGGTTTACGGGGTTAAAGGATTTAGGGGTTTCGGGTTTTGGCGTCTAGGGCGGCTTGCATTAGGCTGTAAATGCTTGATTGGAGTAATCAAAGGATCAGACGACTCAGGAATCAGATTAAGACCCCTTCAGAGCCCCAGTCGAAACTGGCCGAGGGAAATCTACTTGCTAAGTCCCCTGGTCCTTAAAAGTAGGGTTTCAGAGTTTTACAACAGAGTAGTGCTACTTATCCAGGCTCCCAGGTTACCAGGTTGGATTTGTCCGAGCAACGATTTCTCTTGTTCGATGAAGCGTCATTAATATGGAATAGCACCCTTAAAGTCAAAAAAAAACCAAAAACCCGAACTCCGAGGTCTCCAAAAGAAAATCCCCCAAACTCCGCCGCGCACGTGTTGGCGCAGCCCAGAAGACCCAAGGAGCCCAGGAGCTCCGAGATGAGCTCTTTCCGGTCCTCCTGGGTTTCGGAATTTGGGATTTGAGGGTTTAGGGTTTCGAGCTTTCGGAGTTTTGAGAGTTTAGGGTTTGAGGGTTTAGGGTTTCGGGTTTTGGGGTTTAGGGTTTTAGGGTTTAGGGTTTTAGGGTGTGGTAATGCCATCGGTGCTCGCTGGTGTACACACACCCAGGCTGCGCGCACCGTTCGTAGCAGGCAGCCCACCCCAAGACCACTCTGAGTTCAAGTATGTCTAAAACATCTTCTAGGCATCCTAGCGTTGGCTTCGACATAACCGACAGGGGCCGTCGCCTTCAACCGGGCCCAGGCAAAATCGAAATGGTGCGAGAATGCGCTCCAAACGGAGACAACCAGCAGTGCATGTGAGCTTTCTGTGACTCTGTCTCTGGCGGGTCCCGGAAAGGGCAGTGGGCTTTCCATGGGTTGTGCTGGCGGTGGTTGACACAAACGGCAAACTTTACTGCATGTTTGCTTTTTGTAAGGCTGTCCTGGTCGGACTTTGTCTCTAGAGTGTGCCGGAAGAACCAATGGGCTTTCTGTGAGGCGCTGTCCTGGTCTGATTCTGTCTTTGGTGGGTGTCGGAAGAAGCAGTGGGCTTTCCGTGCGGTTGTGCTAGCTGCGGTCATCGCAAACGACAAAAAAAAGGATGCCACTCCTAATTGTGAAGGGTTGTGGTGGCGCAGGCCCTTCCTGGCAGTCGTAGAGCTGAGGGAACCCCGAGATCGGCCGACAGCCCAAGCTAAACGCATACCTGTGACCACAAGGAGCCTGAACCTCTCAACCCACCCCCAACTGCCGCCAGTCCCTGGGGCCAGAGAGCCGCAGCGAGGCGGAAAAGCTCAAAGCCTGCCAGCAAGGAATAACAAAAACGAAAAAGCAGGGAAAAGCGAACACATGTACATACATACATACATACATACATACATACATACATACATGCATGCATACATACATGCACGCGCACACGCCCTAGCAAGAAAAGAGGAGCAGTGGTGTTGAGGGTGCAGTGTGGAGGGTCTAGGAACAAGGGTGTTGCGAGTGTTACGGAAAAAACCCAGTCAAAGCTTCCAGCTTGAGCAGGGTTCTTAGGGTCGAAAGGTTTGGGGCTTAGGGCCTAGGGTCTAAGCCTGGAGCTGCAAGCTCAGAAACAAGTTCTCACCGCGTCCCTTCTTGCTAGGGCTGACTGATGGGAGTACCCTTTCGTTCCTACTATTCCGCTTGAACACGGATACGTGTAGTTAATGCAAGCCCTAACCCCTTGTAGATCCCTTATGACTCTAAGCAACATCATCATCCACGTGCATGGGAGGCATGTCTGCCATGGAGGGTTGTGCTCCCTCTACTCGCCTCTTGCGGTGTAGATGTCGCAAACATCTCATCCTTCTGCATGACCTGAGACGATGATCGCGCCAGCAGCAACAGCGGCAGTAGCAGTTGCAGTTGTAGTCGTCGTAACAGTATTAGCAGCTTCTGGGTGGTCGTTGCAGTATCTCGGGTGCAGGGCTCAGAAGACAGACACAGCAGCGAAGAAGAACGCCTATTTACAGATGCACATTCAGGGCCTAGGATTCAGAAAAGGAAGAAGAAAATCAATCCTTCGGTCAAGTCTTCAACAGATTGCCCTTGAACAGCATCTCGACTAGCCGTGAGGCTTAGCAAAAGTAGCCGAGGGCCAGGCACATACAGGAGCTTCAAGATGTGACGAGTGCTCCCCCCGACAATGCCCAGACAGATAGGCCCCCAAAGTGCATCAATGATGCACTATACTATTAACAGCCATCATTCATCAATGCAACACGAAAGGTGTTCAAGTCACTTGGGGCCCCAAGCAAGAATATGCTTTCCTAACAACAACTTAAATCCGCAAAATCAGCTCCCTAAAAGCCTGAAGCCTACATCCCAAGCCATGCAGCCGCAAACCCCTCAAAACACCATGTAGACCTGATGGAACCCACTATCTGTATTTCTGATCAAACCCGACAAAATGTTGCATGCACACTGCAACGATACTATATAAACTTGCAACAAACACGAAACAAAAACCGGAATACCATGGCACCCTAAACAACAAAACATAGACTTAGGCCGTGGCATACGCAATCCGAGATCGCACGGCCCGCGGGTCGACGCGCTGTCCCGACACCCAGACCTCTTCGTTCGGGCTTAGGCTCGAGGGATGTTTTGCCTACGCTTGTTCAAGGAGGGTCTTTTCAATAGGACTTTAAATATATAATGCAGTAGTATAATAAAAAAACATAATACAATATAATATAAAAGAATGTAGTGTATTACAATAACCTTGAATATTGTGTAATATATTATCGTATAATGTAATGTAATATAATAAATATGAGATAATAGAATATCTTATAATATGATATAATATGATATGATCTAATACAATATAATGTGATATAATATAATATAGTATCATACAGAATAATATAGCATCATATAAGACAATGTAGTATATTATAGTCTCATATAATACAATGTAGTATAATATAGTTTCATATAGAATCATATAGCATCATATAGTCAAATATAGCAAAACATAGTATAGAATACTATGATAAAACTAGTAAAGCCTGGTATAAAATAGTATAATGTAGTTTTGTATCCGAGTCTTACGGGCTTGAGAGCTTGGTCGAGGCCGTCAGGGTTTTGGACTTCGGGGGCCAGCAGAGAACTTGAAGCCTGCAAGGTGATGAGCAACATGAGGCTGGTTAATACAAGGGGAGCCTTTCTAACTCGAGTATACTATGCTAGTGGATTCATGTAGGGGGCTCAATAACCAGAGTAGGGTTTTAATGCAGGGGCCTTAATGACTAGGCTAGATTTTGAGGTATACTAAGCTGTAAGTTATACTCAGAAATCCCAAGGAGTAATATTGCTAATTGTTCAGGATTGGACGTGTGACTGTGGTGACGTGGTGACTATGATGGTGCGGGTGATGGTGATGCCACAGGGGCCCAAAGCAAAGGAGCCTGGCCGCACCTGCTGACACAAGCGAGCTCGTGATTCGGAGATTGAATTGTACGCACGGTAAACCCCTGTGAATCGGCTAGCTAGCCTGCTATTAATGTCCCAAAGGCTATGAAAGGCTTTACTGGCTCCATGCTTATTGACCCTTAAGACAGAAAATTTAGGGCTCAAGGTTCTTGCATGAGGGCTTGCAGAGTGGCCTTCCCGGTGATGCCAATCCTGTGTCGCTGTCCACCGCTCTGGCGTCCCGCCAGAACCTACAGCAGCAAAGCCGGTGAGAATTCCAACACCAGACATGCCACATGAGAGTTCGTAAATCATCACGCACAGGTGCTGTCGGTTTGACAAAGGACGAAGACTACTTGTGCTTCCGCTCAGTACTCTGCGACGCAGGTCGACAGAAGCATTCGGACCCTTCCCGATGATGCTTCACTTCCGTGGCAACAACCCCTACAGCCAGGAAGTCCAGAGGGGCATTTCCCAGTTCATACCTACGCCCACACCCTATACCGACCCCTATACTTCTGTATCTTGGCAGTTGGTTATATCCTCTACGGGTGGGAGTTGTTTAGTATCACCAGTTGCTATTGTAATTCTGCCAGGATTATTTAAACAAAACAGTCGTATCTTATTTCGCATATACATAGATGCCCTATACTCTTATAACATTATAGGGCGTGTGGTCGTAGGCAGGCAGTTCAACGTCTTTCTCAATCGGCACAGTAAAAACTCTTCCTCAAAGTTGTTGCCTCGTTGTCTTTCTCCTGTGATAGGCCGTTCGTGGGCACAACGAACAGCGTTTTAAAACCCAATTTCTGAGAATATTAAGTTTTTATCATGTGTAACTTTTGCCTGTTCCTCCAACTTTACCTCTAACAACACACGTGCCTCCACATTCTATAATTTGCTTACATAACTTTTCGGTGTCCCGCTCGTCCGCGATGTTAAGGCTTTCATGTTTAGGTTGAGGCACATTAACCAGCTCACGGTATTTAAGTTTGCAATCTTGGGTCGGCAGTCTTACTCGCTTAGACTTTGCTAGTCTGCGTCCTCCGATGTTATGTTTCTCTTTTTCAACCTTCAACAGTCTGAGGGTTGTTGACACATCATTCTTTTTAATAGTCAGGGCGTCGCTCTTCACACTATACACATCAGCACCATTCTCTTTTAATGTCTCGGAGGCTTCATACACTCTGCAATTATGGTCTTGTAAACGCAACTCTTTAATGTGTCTAGAGCGTTGCTCAAACATCTTTCGTCGGATACATTCAGCACATAATGCTTTATCTCTTTTATTTCAACATCCTTCGGTATATGAACTACACCATCTATCACAGCGAAGCGCTCAAGAGCTCCGTTCTCAAACACCACAACCCCATCTTCAAAACTCCGCTCCCGAACTTCCTTTCCCCTTTCTTCTAATGGCGTGTATTCGTAATCTTTATTGACACCATCTATCGCATATACCCTACCTCCAAAAACTGCTTGATAATGGCAAACCTCCATTAATGTGTCAAACATCCTACTCCTTTGCCCTTTGTTGTTCGATTTCTCCAATAATCCGAAATTGATCTTTCCAGCTTCCTGTTCATCAGCGCTTATCTGCTCTGCCCATAAATCGTCTATAATCTGCTTGTAACCCACCTTATGGATATGCGACGGCTGCTTGCATTTAACATCTTGTTTATGAACTTTTTCATTGAAGAAGTGTCCATGAATCTGGCTATACTTCTTGTGTAACATTATATTAGCATTAGCAACCTCCACCATATACAGGGTCAGGTTCGGCGTATCATTAATATTGGCGGTTTCATCCCACTTTCTCCATATATCAAACTGCCTGAATATCGGTATGTTCTTGATGCTTGTGACTGCTTTTGTACATGCTTTATTAATATCAATTTCCGCAACAGTATTTTTTCTACTTCAGGCTTCCGGATAATACCGGACGGAACTATGGTTCTACATTCATTAAGTATCTTTATATCGGTGCGTATCGGTATAGTGAGATTTACGATGTTCGTGAAATGTTTTGGATTTCATATTAAACATTGCCTCGTTGGTTTTCTGATACACCTCCTCCGATGATATCCTCATCAATATTACTCTTGGGTGAATTTTGTGATTGAATTGTATAGTGTATTCTCTTATTTAACTTCTTTGCCCTCCATCTAATTTTAAGTTCGGATATAGCCCCTGCTTGATATTTAACAACAGGCTCATAACCGCTTCCCTTGAAGTCGTGTAGCTGTTTTGTTAAGTCGTTGTCCCTATGTATCAGCTTATACTCGCCTTTATCGTTTGGACGTAGCAAGTCCTGTACGGTGTCAATCATGTTAGATTCTCGGTGTTCTTCCCAGTCATTGATATAGTGGTAGTTGTCGGACACTGTAACCGTTAATTCTTTACCTTCCTCCATCCCAGTCGCTTTTGAACTGTTCAAGTCGTGGTTTAAAACATATATGTGCGTGCTCTTGACCAAACCGTTAAACATCGAAGTCCTATGCGCGTGTGTTGGTGGGTCATACTTCTAACTTCTAAAACATATTACGGTTGAAATCGAAAATCCGTGCCGGAATACCGAATGCTTCAAAAACATTCTCCATCTTGATTATAGAAGTGCTGTGTTTAATAAACTCGTCTTCTGATAAACCAATTAACTCTACAACTTTGGCCCTCGTCAGGTTTTTAGCAAGTGAGCCTTTTTTGTGTTTCATCAGTGTACCGCTGTGATGTTCCACCAATGCACTTATCCAACATTCTCCTTGCCTGTAATTTTCTTTAGCGGTTGCTTCTTTAACTGTTGCATAATTGGAGTCTATCTCGGTCTCCACGAAGCGATGATTTTTGCTTACATTATCTGCATTTCGTAGGTTTTCGGTTGTTGCGTCGTAATCTCCATCGGCTTCAATCAGTTCAACCTTCTCTAACCCTATGGCATCTACATTATTTAACTGATTGTAGTTGTCTTACGAAACTCTCATTTGTCCGCATAACCATCATAACTTTCTTAAACAAGGGTTTGTCAAAGTCGGATGTGATTTTTCTTGTGACTATTCCCTCTATAAAACCATTAGACGTGATATTTGCCGTTCTAACTGCTGGATTTGTCAGAAATGGCTAGAACGAAACACCATTAACTTGACATGCTAATCTTTTGCTCTTTCTGGGTTCAATCGCTTCCTGTTTCCGAAGAATGCTTTCTTCTCTATCTGTCTCAGCGCCATCTTTTGCCTTATCCTTCTCAATACTTGCTGCTGGTTTCGTTGCACTGCCTTTTCCTTCTTTGCTTCTCTTGCTTTTGCTGGTGTGTTCCTCATCCTTTCCGCTACTCATATTCTGCTACAGCCTCTTGTATGCTTTGCTGCCTTTCTCTCTTGATTTAAAATTACGTGTTGTTACACCATTGATTAAATATATCGCTGTTGTGAATTGTGATATGTTACGGTCTTCGTATAAATCTATGACATTGTTAATCCATGTCAATGTTTGATTTGGCACTTTGCCTCTTTTAGCGTCTCGTATGTTTGTTGAGTTTTGTATGCGGTTTCGTACAAGTTTTCTGGACATAATTGTATACATGTTTGTGTTATAACTTAAAATTTCTTCATGTGTGTTCTGTTAATTTCCTGTGAATGCAAAAACATGTTCAAAGACAAAATCTTATCATATATAGAAAAATTTAGATGACTTCTGCGAACAATGAAACTAAAACCGTTGAGGAACTTGCCAACAGTCTAACATTGGAGCAAATCAAGGAACAAATGGCGTTGCATCATCGCCTGTATCATCAGTTAAGAAAAGAGCGCGACCCTGAATACATCAAAAGCAAAAGCAAGAAGAACGGGTACGCTACTGGAAGAACAAGGCGAAGGACGAACCCAAAAAAACAAAAAGTATAATGCTACTGTATGATATTTAAAGCACAGTAAAACTGAAAGATTAATATTAAAAAATATAAATACTGATCTTTATTTCTTGGGAGTCTTCTTTGGTGGCGTTGATGAGAGTGAGCATGAGCGACTTGCTCCTCTTCTTAATAATCTATAAGCGTCGTTGCTTCCACTTGGTTGTTCCTCATTGTCAGGGCTATTCCTGCGACTTGTACGTGCTCCTCTTGTTAATAATTAAGCGTTGTGTTTGCGTGAATACTTCTTCATCAATAGGCGGTTCTGGTCCTTCGTCTTCTTCTTGATTTAACCAGGTATATATCGCTTGACCTAATGTTCTACCTGTATGATATATTGCTTTGCTTCATATTCTTGATACGGTTGCTACATCATCCAATAATTGTCTTTCTGGCGACGGTCTTTCATCGCCATCATCATCAACATCGTCTTCGTCTTTTTCGGAAGGTTGTATAGTACTATAAGGCGTTCCGTTCTGTCTTAACATATATCTGAATGTCTGTGAAATATTGTCCCGTGTATTTTTTGTAAATTTTCACAATCTTTTACCTGGCTGTCATATAACCACTCAAAGCCTTAAATTCTGGAAAGTGCTCGTGAGGCTTTGAAAAAAGCGGATGCGTCCGCCTGTACCTATTTGTTCGCTGTATCATCAACATCATAACCGTGGGTATTCAAACAGTTACCGGTTTGGTGTTCTGCAATGTTCATGAATCTACGCAAGCCTCGGACACATGCTTTCCCTGATGCCTTCGCCGGCGGTTATTGTTCGGTGGGTTTGGAAGGGTGTATGTAGCAGGCGTATTGAGAAGTGGTGCAAAAGCGTGAGGGAGGGTATAAGATGTGAGGTCTGGGATAAGGGCGGTGCTTTCGGTGTCATTGTTATAGGCTTTGGGGTTGCCGATTAGGGAGCATTTCTCAGTTCAGGTTGGGATATTGAATATTTATGGATAAGGCTATGGATTGTTTAGGTGGCTATGGTTTAGGGTTGTGGTATAAGGTTGGTTTAAGCATACTGAACAACCTATAGAGGTTAGCACGCAAAAGGAGGCCTTTTGCGTCCGTCGCCTGTGGCTACACAGATCTTTGTCAAGGGCCCTTGAGAGAAAAGGGCGGCCCGAAAGGATGGAGCTTTCAGATAAAGCTGTACACACACTCTAGCTTTACTGCACCGAGGTGGTAACACAGCTTTCACACGCCCTCAAAGTGAGAACTCTAAGGGCGCACGTTTTCTGAAAAGAAGCCCCCACTCAGTCAGCCTTGCTTG